TTCTAAACTATTAACCAGTTTTAAATTTTATGGTGCATGGAAAAGATCAAAGGGAGGGGCAACACCAATTGTGTTGTTTTCCAAAACCAGTTCAGTGATTATTTACCTTTCAAGCAATTAACATAATTACCATTATGCTAAAAAGTAATTTTGGAAAGTTCTGCCCTGAGCCCTTACGACTCCTCTGGGACAGTTTTAGTTGGGACTTATCTTTTTGATGGAAACCTAATTGCGATTTTGGCTTTGTGCACACAAACAGAAGCAGCTAATTGTTTAGGCAAATAGCAGATTAATTTAAATATGCATCCCTAATAAAACAAAAATGGTATCCATTATGGTCCTTGTTCCCATGACGAGGAATATAAATATTCTGTTTAAGTACCATTAGGTGGAGGTCTTAAGGATTATCAACATTATTTCACAGTGGTAGCACTTTCCAGATACCAAGTAATCTTTACAAAAGCTAACATAAATCAGTTTAAACTCATTTAGATCCCATTTCCACTATTCGAGGTTTCATTACCACACTCTGGTTGGCCTCCTTTGGGAGGGGGGAGGGGCATGCTGTAAACTGGCATGGGTGCCCATCCACAGCTGCTAAGCAGGCTTTATGTCTCCTCAAAAGGCCCATCCTCGTTACTCATGTCACCGTTAATGACTGTTCCTAGTATAGGGTGGACTCAGAGTTCTTCAGCCCTGCTGCTGCTCATCAGGGTAGAGGGTCCTGCACCCAGGGAGCAGGTAGGACTGCCTGGCCCTACCCCCCCCCCCCCCGCCTACATTTTGGGGCTTTGACCCACACTCATTGTCTTCTTTCAGATTTTTTTTAAATACCCAGTTTCTTCTTTTATCTGTATCTTTTTCACATTTCTTATTAGTAAAACAGTACCATTGTGTCCTAGCCCTACATCAGAATTAAACATATTTATACAGCTGTTGAGATTTGTGTCAAGAAACTTGTGCTATATTTTCCATTCTGATGTGGGGGGAAAATGAGGGCTCTTACACTCTGGCTCTTAAGCTTATGCCTGGTACAGCAAATGGTGACAAAGACCTGCTTTTGAGATCACTGAGAATCTGCACAGAACCTCCCTTTGCCTTTGCTAGGATTTTTCTTGTTTTACTTTGGCCTAATATGGAGGATGAGTGTGGTAGACAACGTGTGTCCTTGCTGTGAGGCCCCTCCTTAGCCACTCTAGAGGAAGGTAAGTTCATAGGATTTGAGTTTATCTTTTGGCCTCAGCTGATTGGACAAGGGATGGGGAGCCCTTCATGGACTAGGAATAGAAGATCTTGTGGGGTGGGGGGACGGCTGTTGTTCTTCGTATACAATAGGTCTCAACTTATGAATGAGTTCCATTCTGGGAGAATGTTTGTAAGTTGGAGTCCTTTGTAATCTAACAAAGTGAGTCTTTTACAGTACACTTGTGAATCTTATACAACTCATTCTATACTCAGGAACAAGGGAAGCTGGACTGTGGAGAAAAGAAGGAAACTGTTGTAGAGAGAATTAAAGACAAGGTCTGTGCTTCAGGCAAGAGACAAGCTCTGCCTTTCTTTCTCACACGTCTTCCTGGTTCTGATCCCTTGTAATCTCCAGCTGGACTTCCTGCCCTTGGGCTCTGTTGACATAGCCCATGTCTTTCCAGTTGGTTTTCCTTCTGTGTTTAAACTAGTTTCACTGGGATTTCTGTTTCTTACAGCCAAATGTTCCTTTGATGAAGCACATGACAAAACACTCAGCAAGCCTTTACTGATGTACAATAACATTTAACACTGTGAATTCACTGTCATAGGGAATAGAGGAGGAAAAGGACACAATCTTACCACTTGGTAAGTCCACATAATGTCAGGAGCCAAATCCATCTGAGAAGCGAATTTCTTTGGTTCTGACAGTCACTGACTACTGCTTCCTTACTAGTCACACAGTGAATGTGGACCATGTTCTACTTGAAATGTCTCAAGACTTAGCCCCTCCTTTTGGGGAATCTGAAAATAGTGTGACCACATGACAAAAAATTAAGCTTAGGGTTGGGGATTTAGCTCAGTGGTTTCGCCACCTGCTGCACAAGCACAAGAACCCGAGTTCAATCCCCGGTACCAAAAAAAAAGTTAAGCTTGGATAACATTGTTCCATTGTACCTTATATATATGGCTCTGTTATGTTGTGTTTTACATTTTAGTCAAATGTTTGTTTTCCTCCAGTATGTGTTTTGTGAGAATGGGGATCATATCCTTTCAATCTTCATCTGCTTCCAATTGGGATGTTTGGCAGATGTCACTGGAGTGCTAGCTCCGTGTAGTCAGAATTTTTTTTTTTTTTTTTGGTACCAGGGATCGAACTCAGAACCTTGCATTTGCAAGGCAGGCGTGATGCCACTGAGTTAAATCCCCAGCCCCTGACATCCTGACATTTTTTTGTTTTATTTCATCTTATTCACTACAATGCCTCCCATTCTTAAAACTGTGCCTTGGGTTGGGGATTTAGCTCCGTGGTTCCTCAGCCTGCTGCACAAGCGCAAGGACCCAAGTTTGATCCCTGGTACTACAAAAAAAAAAAAGGAAATTGCAAAACTTGGGGAAGTTGCAGAATTTTATGAGGCAGGCAGCAGAACCACTGAGCTAAATCCCCACCCCTTGCAGGATTTTATAATGTTGATCTTGGAAAGACAGCAGAAGTGGTGATTGTGTGGGTAAATTAAAATGACTTTTTTCTTATTATTTAAATCACTCTACAAGGTAGTTGCTTGCTTATGAAGAAATAACAATGTATGTAAGGTTTATAACATAATATGGAAATAAAAGGTATGACAACCATAGCACAAAACTTGAGAGGGAAGAAATGGAACTGTGGCACTGTAAATTTCTTACCCTCGGTGAAGTGTTACAATATCACTGGAAGGCAGTCTGTGGTAGTAAGGGATGTATGTCAAAATCCTGAAGCAACCACTATGGTAAAATGACAAAGAATTTTGGCTCCTAAGCTAACATAGCAGTAACAATGGAATAAAAACATACACAACCCAAGAAATAGAGAGAGAGAGAGAGAGAGAGAGAGAGAGAAGCAGCAAAGAACAGTTAGAATAAATAGAAAAATAGCAGGCTTAACCCAATCTTATCAGTAATCACATTAAATATAGTCTAATAGTCTAAATACCCCAGTTGAAAGCAAGACCAACTATATGCTGTCTGCAAGAAACCTACTTAAGTACAAAGACAGAAGGCAAAATGAAAAGATGGGAAAAAATATATCTACTAACAGTACATAATCAAAAAAAAGCTGGAGTGGGTATGTCAATAAAAAGCAGTGAATTTCAGAGCAACGATTCTCTCCAGGGCTAAAGAGAGACATTACATATGATAAAGGATCAATTCTCCTAGCAGACATAACAGTCCCAAATGTATATGCATCAAAAGTGATGTTGGAGGTCTGGGCAGTGACACCAGTGCCATTGCAAGTGAGTTCCTGCCTGTTATACACACTATGACTGAAGTGCAGAAATTGAAAAAGATAGCAGTGGAACAGGCACTCAGAAGAGAATCTGACCATTAAATTGATGGAACCCAAGAATATTTTTTTCCAAAAAGACCCTTCTTAGGATGGCTCTGTGAAACTCATCTTTGTTGTACAGTGTATTTTATTGCATCCAGTTCTGTTGGAAAAGTGATGCCACAAAACCAAGACTTGATTAATAATGAAAAATGTGTTTATAGATAAACTCCATGTGTGCTTAGAATGAGCTGTGGTTAAATAGCTTCCACACTTGGCAGAAAGCAGGGTGAGTTTGGTGGTGTGCATCAGTTACTCATCAGGCCCATAGTTATTTTATGCACTTGTAAATACAGCCACTCATCCTGCAGTTTGCTAGCTAAATTCTAGCTCAGCCTCATCAACATCAAGTGGCTTTGGACCCTTTGTTCAGCCAGTCAGAGCTTCTCTTTCTTCTCTTATGTGGAATGAGTTTATGCTCCTCCCAAGATACAAGGGAGCCCTTTACAAGAAGAGATAAATGAGTTTATGAACACTTGGAAGCTTCATACAAGTAGCAGTTTTTATTTCTCTTTACTCTTTGTTGTGATGTCTCAAAACAACTGCAATGCAGAGTATTTGGAAGAGGGATATGCAAAGATGAGATGTCTTGGAATGGGAGATCTGTCTCTTATTTAATGAGTAGAGCCGCTGGCATTTTTTGTGGCCCATCTTTTCCCTCTGGGTCAGGATGGAAAGAATTTGCCAAAATATTTGTCAGGGAAATGTGGTGTAGAGCCTCTCCCAATCAGCTTATCTTCTAAATTTATCATAATTCTTAGAAGAGTATACTGTGTTTTACGTTTGAATGTTTAACTTGTGGAAAGGTCTGCTTTTGTTTGCAGTCACCTACTTAGCCTACCGACAGTTTGAAAGTCTTGCAAAGTGGCCTGAATATATTTTCTTCTAACTCTTTATATGTACTGAATGGTACTTTATAGCAAAAGCCTAATTTCAAAGCATTTGCAGTTTACATACAAAATACAAAGCAAGAAAAGGGACAGATAAGAAGATTGATTACAAAGAAAAGTGAAGAGCTTTATTCTGGCCAACAGGACATTATAAGGAAATAACAGTGATTTGTTGATGAGCAATAAAGAAGAAATTAGCATTATTGATAGATTAAACATGCTTTATAGTGTCTCAGCAGACACTATAGAAGACATAAAAATTAAAGGTAAAAGGGAATGGCCTGTCCTCAGTATTTTATACAGTTGGTCTCTAATCCACCCAGCAGTCCTGTGCAGTAGGTAATGCTATCTCCAGTTTTACAAGTGGGGAAAGTGTCTCACAGCTGTGGCATAACTCCCTCAGGTCCTGCAGCTGGCAAGCAGTGGGGCTGGATTTAAATACCACAGACTCTGCTGTCTCAACAGTTATTTCTCACTGAATTTTGAAAAATATCATGATTATTTTATAATTGTACATATTAAGTGAATTTAAAATTGTTGTCTGCATTGTTTCTACCTAGGATTTCTTCATATTTGGGACCTGAGGACTGGAACGTGTCCTGTCCATCGCTTTGAGCATGATGCACGAATACAGGCACTGGCTCTCAGCCGGGAAGGTGCCACCGTTGCCACTGCTTCTGCTTTTGACGTTGTGATGTTGTCCCCCAGTGAGGAGGGGTACTGGCAGATAGCTGCAGAATTTGAAGTTCAGAAACTGGTGAGCTCTTAGTCTGATCATTTTATTTTTCATTCTTAGAATCTCTGAGTCTAATAGAAACAAATAATGATGTTAGCAGCTCCCATTCCCCTGGGTCTTCTTAAGGGTCTTACATCCATAAATCCCACAACGGCCTTGCAAAATAGGTGGTACTATTTTCCGCATTTACCAAGAAGCCAAGGGGTGTGAGAGCAGTGGATTGACTTGCCTCAGGTTTCAGAGCTAAGAAGATGATTCACACCTCCATGCTGGGTTGAAGTATAGCTCAGTACACACCTACCTAGCATGCATGAGGCCCTGCCTGCATTCAGTCCCCACCACTGCACAAGATAAAACATGCAAACTCCAGAACTGACTTCAGGGCCAGAGTTCATTGTAGTTTTCAGCCTCTTTCAGACTAACATGGTAGACTCACACCCCAGGAAGTCTGAGATCGGTTTCTGGCTGAATGTGTAAGTGAAAATGAGTTCAGTGGTGTCGTCCCAGTCCATATAGAAGAAAGGTTTCCATCCTATACTGTCTTCATCCCAAAGTTGTCTCACCTGTAATGATGAGCAACTCTTGAGTGAAAATAGATTTAAGTCGGTGATAATTGGGTAGCCATGCTCCAGGATGTTTTGTGTGAAGCTGAGCTGACATAAGAATTTATTTAGGGTTCAGCTGTATGTGAACCTCTGTATATGTGTGTGGTGGAAGATGATTGGTAGTAAGTAATGCCTAAATCTATCTTTGCTGAATTGGATTTAATTTAAACAAACTTGCTTTTGGCACTGGTTAGGAGAGTGAGCAGAAAAGCCAACATTGAATCATGAATTAATAGCCTGACCTGGAACCAATCCTTATTTCTCTCTCTTTATTCCTGGGTGGAAATCTTATTAGATTTCAGTAACTTAAAAAGCCATGGCATCACCACTTCACTCATCAGCTTCTTGGTCCTTTAAAGATTGAATCTCTGCAGTCTAGATTTAGGGTTCCCCCAAAACTGCCTCCTGCTGTCATCTTGTCTTGGGGTTTTATTAGGAAAAGTAGAAGTGCATTATTTCTGTTTATCCTAAAAACCACCATAGTGCATATTATATAGTCTGGCCAAAGAACGTGGTGGGCCAGCGGTAATTATATGAACTGAGACAATTACTTAAGATGCGAGTCCCCCTGTAAAGTGTAAATCCTGCCTTGGCAATAAGGTAGGATCTTGGCACAGACTAGAAGCTTTTTAAAATAGTTTACAGCTCCCAGCAAATGGCACAACCGCCATCAGTCTGAGCCCCTTGGCCTGTCAAAAGTCCAACTTCAAGATGAAGTTAAACAGCCAACTGAGGATCTCCATTTTGGGAAAAGAAGAAGTGAGTTTTTGCAGAGAGGGGAAGCAAGCAGCCAATGCTGGAGGCATGTTTTACAATACTTTTTTATGTATTCTTACCCTGCCCGAGGACTTGCACCAAATGTCCTGATATCCCTGGAAAGGTACCCCCTGACCTGCAGAGCTGGACATGGTTGTCTTCCCCAGATACTCTCCCTGAATAGCAGTGGCAGCTTTCCCGGGTTTGCAGCATTAGCCTAGAGCGTCTGTCCTTTGAGATGGACCTGTGGCTGGGGATGTTGGGCTGCCTCTCACATGGTTGGGCCCAAAGATTAGCAGAGTCACCCGGATGTTTACTCTCTTTCAAGCTCCTCTGGACAGTCTTCAGGATTCAGGCTTTTGAATTTGTCTGGCATGTTGTCAGGGCACGGTGTCCTTTTACACCATGGATTTTCATAATTACATGGTGTGCCTCACCTTCAGCATTTATGCTCTCATCATTTACTGAAGGACCTGATGTAAACTGCAATAGGGAGAACTGTGCCACTTGTGGTTACAGAAAAGCAAATTATTTTTTATAGGTGCTCCTCCTCTCGTGCAAATTAGAGAAAGTGTTAGTAATGGTGCGGTTGAGAGCACTGCAGCACTGTGCAGTGGGCTTCCTGCCCTCAGAGGATCATTGCCTGACATGGAAATCAGGAGAGAGCAGAGAGCTCAGATACTTTGAACTTTTTGGCAACACATTTTTGATATTTTCACAAACTTGTTAAAATACGGGTTTTGCTAATTTGGAACTGAGTGAATTTTTTTTTCAGTTTCTTGTGAAAAATAAAACTTTTAAAAAATAGATTTTGTACCTTCATGATTCAAAATTTTAAGAACATAATAAGGCCAATAAATGGGAATCCTCCTGCCCCATCCTACAGCGCAGTTCCTCAAGGCAACTCTTGTTAGAAGATTCGTGCATGTGCAAAGTCGAGTGCATCATATGCCTCTCCTGCCCCATCTTTTACACGTTAGCACACTGGGGGCCCTCTTACTCACCTTGGCTTTCTCGCTGCCCCCAAATTATCTTACAGATTATCCCTTTGTATCAGTTTATAAAGACTGTCTTCATGGTTTTTTCTGTGACTATGGTATTTCAGTGTATAAGGTACTTAAAGTTAATTTAGTTTGTTTGCAATGGGTGTTTTGGTTTTGCCAGTTTTTATCTATGACAGAGTAGTACTACACTGAATAACCTTGTTCACAATCATTTTGCATACATGTAGGTTTATTTGTAAGGACATTCCTAGAAGTGGCCTTACTGGGTCAAAGCGTATATGTATTTGACATTTTGATAAGTGTTAGCAGATTTCCCATAATAGAAGCTGGACCAGATTTTAACCCCATCAACAGTAATAGGATCCATAAACATGGGTGTCCCTGCTTCACTTCCAGCCTAGTGTGTTCTTGGACTTTTTCATCTTTACTGATGTGATAGATAGAAAATAGTATCTCAAATGAATTTTCACTTTGTATTTTTCTGTATGGGAGTATACTGTGGTTTCTCTTAGGATGAGCATCTTTCATTTGGGCAAGGGCTGTTTGTTTACTTTCCTGTAAACAGTTCTTTTGTCCATCTTTTCTTTTGGGTTGATGGTCTTCTCATTTATGTGTAGGAGGAATTTGATATTTTTGATGATTTAGTATGACTAAAGAACTCTTATCATTTAACAGGTTGATTACCTTGAAATAGTCCCAGATACTGGAAGGTACCCTGTGGCAATAGCCACTGCTGGAGATCTGGTATACCTGCTAAAAGCCGAAGACTCAGCCAGAACCCTCCATTATGTCTACGGCCAGCCAGTCACCTGTCTAGATGTCTCAGCCAACCATGTTGCTTTTGGTGTGAAGAGTCTGGGATGGGTGTACGAAGGAAACAAGGTACAAAAATAACAAGATGTTCAATTAACCAAAAAACCCCACACATTTTCATTTTTTAGATGGCAGTTGAAAAGCTGATATTTTTATTTTCAGATGAACTAGGGAGCATATCAGCATATGCATAAACACTTCAGAAGGACTTAAAATAAAAGTGATTATTTCCTTCTTCATCCCTTTCCCCAGTCCCACAGCACAGAAGAAACTATTAATTTTTAACTATCCATGTAGAAAAGTTTAATGCATATATAGGTACATTTGTGTGCTAAGAATATACCTTTGTAGAAATGGGATCATAGTACACATTCTGTATCCAACATTTTTACTCAATAATATGCCTTGGAGAGTATTCCATGGCAGCCTGTGCCAAGCTGTCCCTCCCTAGGACTCCAGCATGTGGTCACAACCCTATATAGCCAGTCCCCTCCCTGGTGACGTTTCATCTGCTTTCATTGCTTTGGCTATCTTGGACAATACAACAGTGCAGAGTGCAACTTGTGAAAGTCCTTGTGTAGTGTCTCATGCATGAAGATACTGACAAACATTGCCAAACTGCACTCTAAAAAGATTGCATCAAATTTTACATTTTCACTGACAGTGCATAAAAGTACCTTCTGATATTCTGTGAGCCAGAGCAGAGAGACAAGTTTTTAATTGAAATTCTTTGAATGAGGACTGAATTTTATCACTCTAGGTTTTTACTCTCCTGACTGTAGTACTCAGTCTTAAAGCTGATTTGTGGAACTTTGTTTCTTCTCAGATGGAATCAGGGTGGGGGTGGGGGTTGTAGATATAGAATATAGATATGAAGTTTTTGTTTGGTTTCTATTTTTTCCTATTTGCCTGCTCCTGACCCTGCTGGTAGTTGGTGGGATTCCTGGGAAAGAATATCCCTGAGCCAAAATCTCCTTTGATGACATCCTTCTCCCAAGGAAGGAGGAGACCCCGTACCACATTACAATAGTGTGAATCAGAAACACCAGGATTTGGGTGCACGTGGCCCAGCCCTATCATGTACCACTCTAACTTTAGGCAGGGTGCTTAACCCTATTTCCTCATTTGTGAAATGGAATTCCTAATGGTATTTGCTTCCAAAAGTTGTAGGATTAAATGAAACAGTGTATGTAAAGTTGTAAGCTTTAAGCATCAGTGCCTGGCACATGAGAGTTAACTCTCACCATGTGCTTTCTGTTATTTGTACAACTCATAGTTGGATTTTGGTCTCTGGTGGTGCTTTTTACATCTTATTCCCCCTGTGTGTTTCACCTGTAAGATCATGTCTCACTTGTATAGGTGCCACTGTTTTTATAACCTAGTAGTACTCAAGAATTGAAGATCTTGGATTCCAATCACATATTCTCCATCGAGCAAGACTAGTATGCAGTAGAAAGTACCCAAGGCATGGTGTGTTCTCTCTGAGAGAAGGCAGCCCTCCATGCTGGGTAGGCCTGTTTTGTTGGAGCAGATCCAGGGTCTTAGTTGGAAAGTCTGTGATGATAGAACTCCTGAGCTTTGTCTTCTCAGGAAGGGGAAAGGAGCTAGAAGTGATTTCCTATGGCAGTTTCCTTTTTCCAGCTCTGGGAAGATTTATTTTCTGAGCTTGTTTGTTGAGAGAGGAGAAGCTAATTACTTCCTAATTTTTCATGTTAAACTTCCAAGTTTTTGTTACCTCATTCATTTTTAGAGTTCTCTTATATTTACTACCAGTCTGGTTTAGATTTTTCATATTTTTAATCTAGTTTATTTTTTGATGCTGGGGGTGGGACCCAGGGCCTCACATATGCTAAGCTCATATTATACTGAGCTACACCCTGAGCCCTCTCTCGAATTTTCAACAGATTTTTCATCTAGTGGATCCTGTTTCTTTTTTGACTTATCTGAATGTATTTATTCCTGTAGTGATACGATCTTAGTGGATACATTTGAGAAACCAAATTGTAAAAGGACACTTCAGCACAAAATTAGACTCGAAAGGTCCTTAAAATGCAGATGTAAGTAGGCATTAATTTTTTGGATGCCTCAGATTTTTCAATTAAAAACATTAATCATGAGAATCCACTGATTGATACATTAATTTTTTAAAAAGTTCACGCTGAAAAATGTATAGGCTCTCAGGGCCAGGGATTTAGCTCAGTGGTGCTGTGCCTGTCTCGCAAGCACTAGGTCCTGAGTTCAATCGCTAGTACAGGGCGGGGCGGTGTGGGGGGAGATGTATAGGCTCTCACATAACCTATCTGATGTTTTTCACTGGTGTTAAAAGTAGCAGTGCAAGTAAGTTTGCTACACAAATATTTCAAAATATCAGTTTGGAAGCTGACAGTAACATTTAGTCATCCAAATATTTTGTGAGTAGAACACCAAGCCTCCAGACATGTGTGTAGGTGACTGGCTGGGAATAACTTTGCATCAAGATGTTTCTCCTTCATGAATGCCGCCCATTCAAGAGTAAGATGTATGCTAAGCTTCCTCTATGTACCTTTTCTTATTTTTGCAAAGGCACAACTTTCCAGCTGATTGTCTTTATTGGATTTTTTTCTTCTTCAGAAAAAACTGTCATTTTAATGAAGTGTAATTGTTGGGGCTGGGAAAGTAGCTCAGCAGTGCTGTGCCTGCCTGCCAAGTGCAAGGTCCTGAGTTCAATCCCTAGTACTGAAAAAAAAAATGTAATTATTGCATAACATTTCCATGTGAATTAAGCCACATCATGGGTGGCTTAGTATCATCCTGCTGTGCGATAATGTGATGTCATAATTCCTGAATAGTTTCACGTGCAAGGCTCAGTGGCCCTTTGCTTGTGAATGCCATGTTTTGGCTGTATTTGTGGTTCACCCTGGCCGTGTGAGTCCCCACACATTTTATTAAGTGGGTGTGAGGCGATTAGCAGTGGATTTTACCTGGAGCTGTAGACACACTTGTTTGTGCCTGTGCCTCTGGCTTCTGTATCTGAGATTCAGATGAAGGCTTTGTGAGAACAGAGTTGCTTTATCTTCATTTGTACGTGATACAGAACTGGGGTGTAGCTATAGTCCATTATTGATTAACTAATAAAAGTAGACTGTGAAATCCAAAGGCTAAAATAGAATTGGAGTTAGGAACTCAAATCTTCCTAGCCTGTAGAAGCACTCCAGAGGTGCTGGTGTTTAGCTACAAAATGGCCTTGCACCATATGCTGGCCACATTAGCATTGTCTAGGCACTGTAGCTGTATGAGCATCCAGTAATAATGGTTCGAATTCATCCTTTTATATATTTAACTAGCCAACCTGTCATGTAGTCATCACGAACACTTACTGAGCACCAGTTGTGTTCCTGGCGAGGCAGTGTTAAAACAGCACTGCACACAAATTTCAGCAAACTGGTAGTTGGCAAGAAACCATGCTCTGTTAATAAACATACTTTTCTAAGTAAACAACCAAGTAATTCAGCAAAAGCTCATCTGTTTAATCTTTAAAGAAAGGCTTGTGAATATAGCTGATTCATGGGTCCCTTCCAGCTCAGGGAGGAAGGGCTCAGAGACTCAGTGCTACAGACATTTGGGTTTGCCTGTGGGGCAGGGGTTCCCCAACTTGGATTTCAGAGGTCAGAATTTGGGGAACCACATTTGGGTTTGCCAGCATTTCCTTTGGCCACATAAAGTCATAGGAGAAATGGCTGTTGTCTGTTTTTATCCTTTCTTAAAATGTCAGATTTTTAAACTTCTTTTTTTAAAAATTACTTTTTGACTAGGTAATATATTCTTCTGATTCAGAAATCAAAAGATAGAATGTAGGGCTAGGGATTTAGCTCAGTGGTTTCACCGCCTGCTGTGGCAAGCGCAAGGACCCGAGTTCGATCCCGGTACCAAAAAAAAAAAAGATAGAATGTGTTATGTACATGTGCCAACTCCCTACAAGGAATATAATCATTATGTAATGCAAACATGTACTAATAAAAAATAAAAACTGAAAAACCTACAATAGGAAAAAAATAAACATGACCAAAAAACATGACGAAAAGATGGGAAGGAAGTATAGAGGAAAGCCTCCTTCCCGTTCCCTTGCACTTGCCACTCACTTTCTCTTCCTGGAGCCAAATTGGTGTTGCTAGTCTGGCACATTTTGCGAGGCACAGTTTATGCACTTATTAACAAACTACTATATACGTTCTCAGCTTCCTCTTTTTAAAAATGCAAATGGTTGTGCTTTTTCCTACAACAAAATCTTTTGGAGATAATTTCTTAGGACCTATTTCTTTCCTGCATTACTCTCTTTGATTTCTTGGAACTTTATAATACTGCATCTTATATGTCTTGGTTAATTCAGCTAGCCCACACTGATGAATGCTGGATTGCACCCAATGTTTTGCTGTCACAAACAATACTTGGTTTACATGAATGTATTTGTAGGATTCATTCCTCAAGGTAGACTTATGCCTCAAAGGCACCTGTGCCTACATAATTTGGATGGATATTGCCTTCCATGCAAGTTGTACCTTGGGCAGTGGTGGATGGTGGGACAACCCATTGCCCTGGTGGTGCTTTGATACCTTTTCTCCTTCAGACTTTACAGAAAGATCATAACAAAACGAGGCCAAGTGGGCTCTCTGTTTTGAGGGTGAATGACAGACCACATGGCTTCCCCTAGAATCAGTGCAGCGGGTCTGAGAGCCCTATCAAATCAGTTTTGGTGGAAAGAGCAGTGACACACATGGATGTGAAAGGGAGTAGATGATTTTTCAAGATTGTACCTTGACCTGCCTCTTTCTTGTGTAAAATGAAAAGGATTGGACACATGACCTTTGAGCTCCTGTCCAGTACCCACATTCCAGGATTCTCTGCTTAGGACATTTAAACATTTTCTGTTAGCTGTGGAGTTTTGTACTGAGCTGAAACTTCACTGGAAGATTCTGAGTAGCCGAGGACTTCTGAAAAGGGCTGAGGCATCCAGTGCTTCCATTTCTTCTCTAAGGTCCATGCTTACTGGCAGGAATGATTGGGTAGGAGATTGGTATTTTTTCAGCAGTTCC